GTAAAAATAAACTACTATAGTGTTTAAAAAAAAAAAAGGCAGATCTGCACAGCCCGTTCCCCCACCCCACCCCCAGAGGGAGAGGGCGGAGGTGAGGCGTGGGCGAGAGGCAAGCTTACCTTCCTCCCGTGGCCCAGTTTCCAGGTCTCCATCCTCGCGGCCCACCGGCCTGCCGTCTTCTGCCCGCTGGCCTCTCCCCAGGTGGCCCCCGGCGGCCCGGTAGCTCCTGGGGAGCAGCCTCCCGTGGGGGGCTTGGAGAAGCAGCCTCCTGCTCCTGCCCCCAGCCGCAGCCACTACTTCTGGGACGTGCCGCCTTTTGTTTTTGCCACGCACACTGTCCCGCGGCTGGTGCCCCCTCCCAAGTAGCCGGTCACCAAGGGGTTGAGCACCACGCTCCAGGCGCCGGTGAGGAGCCCCAGCTTCCGCCAGCAGCTCCCCATGTCGGGGTGCAGGAAGCCGGCCACGTTGGAGGCGTGGTAGGGCCCTAAGCAGAGCAGCTGCGTGAGCAGAGCGCCCCCGGCCACCCAGGCCGCCCTGAGCTTCCGCCTGTGGCTCAGGCCCGAGGCGGCCACTGCCCGGAGGCAGCCGGCATAGCAGAAGGCCGTGACAGCCAGGGGCAGAAAGTAGAGCAGCAGGGAGAGGCTGAGGCGCGCAGGGCCGGCCGAGGCCGGGTCCCAGGCCTCCAGGCACACGAGGGAGCCGTTGCCCGCTGAGTGGATGCCCAGGGAGTTGGTGGCGTTGTGCTTCTGGCCTTCCGGAACCCTCAACCCAAAGACCAGCCCCAGGTGACAGAGAACAGAGGCCCAGATGGCCACGCACACCCCCCAGGAGTAGCAGGGCCTCCGGATGGCTTGGTAGCCCAAGGGGAAGGCAGCGCCCAGGTAGCGGCCGGCACTCAGGGCGGCCAGGAAGCCCCCGCCCGCATAGAGCGGGACGAAGTGGACCAGGGCAAAGGCCGGGCAGAGCTCCTCGGGCAGGGGCCAGGCGCCCTCGGCCAGGGCCTCCGCCGCCTTCAGGGGCAGAGAAGCCGCCAGCAGCAGGTCGGAGCAGCTCAGGTGCAGGGCGTAGACCAGGCTGGGGGTGAGGCGGAGCCGGGCGTGGGCCGCGGCCCCCCGGATGGCCAGGGCGTTGAGCGGAAAGCCCAGCACAAAGGCCGCCACGTAGAGGGCGAAGCAGAGCTGCGGGGGCAGGTCCATGGGGCCTGCGGCCTCCAGGGCTCCCGCTCTCACTCCAGGCCCTCAGATCTCTGACGCGGGGGGTGGGGGCGCCCCTGGAATCCCCACTGGCTTCAGCACTGCTTGGGAGTCAGAAGCCATCTAGTGAGGGGCGAGGCGGAGCTGTCGGCCACTTGGCCTGGAGCCTGGTGGGAGGCCCCGACGGTGAGCCCCCCCCAGCCGCTGCTGCTTCCCACCACAGCCCCCCTTAAAATAAGGGGTGAGTTTGGGAGCAACGTGGAAGCTGGAAGGGAGCACGCAGGCCCCACGCGAGGGAAGGCCTCTGGATGGCTGAGGCTCTGCGGAGAGAAGGGAAAGAGGGTTCAGAACAGCGGGCGGTGTGGCTGCACACTGGTACCCCTCGCCTCTGGCAGGGTGGGGGGTGCTGCTCCCCTCAGCGGGGAGCCTGCCTCAGGTAAAGAGAGGGTGCGAGTCAACTGCTCGCTCAGAGGAAGAGATGGGGCTTTGGCAAAGTGGCACAAGGGCGAAGGACAGGCTGGGATGTCCCCAGGGAGACCCAGGGCCCGGCAGTGACACGGGGCCCCCAGCCGATGCGATGGGGGGAGTCGGGGGCCTAGGGGGTGATGGCTGGTGGAGAGGAGCCACAGGAAGAGCACTCACCTCCTGGTGCTGCCAGATGTCTCTGCCAGGCGCCCCCGGCTGGGCTGAGGGCGGGTGCCCGGGGCGGGCAGTGAGCCGGAAGGGAAAGCAGGGCGGGGTGGCCAGGCCATTAGCCTGGGGCCCTCGCAGCCTGGGTGAGCAGCTAATCGGTCATCTCCGCTGGAGCTGAGGCCCGACTGGAGGGGGGGACCCCCGGAAGGGGAGAGGTAGCCATGTGGGGTCTGGGGGATTGAGACGTGTGTAGATGGCACCTCGAGAGAGCCAGGTTGGTGGGTACAAGCAGAACGTAACTTCGGCACCCCCGAACACACACACACCTGCTCAAACCTCCTCTGGGGGCTCCCTGCTCCTGGACAAGCTGGCGGGCAGCGCCGCCTCCGTGGCTCCTGCCTAGGCCACGGAATGTACCCCAGTGCTTTAATCCTCAGTCGCCACTTGGCAATCATGAAATAATCACCCTGGGGTGCAGCTTCTGCCTCCCCCAGAGGCGGGCTGGTCCAGAGGCGTCCTCCTGCTCCAGCTTGACGAGGGAGGGCCATTGGCGGCCTGGGCTGTGGGCTGCGTGGATCCCAGGGACATCACCCGGGGGCTCACGACAGTGAAAATGGCAGGTGCCACCAGTGGCCACTCAGCTTCCTCCCCAGCCTCTGGGGACATGGTCATTTAGGTCCCTGTGTGGGTCACCGTGTCGTCTGGGCAGAGATGGACAGGGCCAGGCACGGAGCACAGGCCCTGCAGAGGGGCTCCGGGGCGGGGCAGGGGCAGGGCAGTGCCCCCCCTCCCCCCGGATACTGACTCTGTGCCTGTCTCCTGTCTGTGTCCCAGACCCACCTCTCTCGTCAGTTTTCTCGGGGCCACCAGGCCTCTACACCCCTTGCCAAATCCAAGTCACCCAGAGCCAGCCTCTCTGGGGGTGCTCACGAGAGACGGGGCTTCCCATCTTCAAGCACCTTCCTCGGAGGTGCCCCCCATGGGGCTCGGGCGCGAGCAACCGGGGTCTTCAGCTCATCAGTGACCCCCTCTGCCCCCTCAGTCACTAAGCCAAGTCCCCCACCGGGAGCCCAGGCTCCCTGGGAAAGCAGAATTTCCCCTCCGTTGCTTCTGTTCAATATTTAGTCTTTGGGAATCACAGAAACTGACCAAACCAGGAGGAAAATCCATGGCAAGAGTCTGGGAGAAGGTCAGAGCCTGGCCGGGCCAGGGGTTCAGGCCCCGGTGACGGCTCCTCCCCGGCCCTCCCTGCTCCCACTTACAGACGGGCCCTGACTGTGCCCGCAGCATTGCCAGGGCGTTCCTGGGTGTTCGTTAACAGGGGGGGATTTCTGTCTGCTCTGTCGCCTGCTGTCCCTCACGCCACAGGGGCCGCGTGAGTCCCCGCCCTATGGACGGTGGTGAGGTCTGGGGCGGAGGGCAGGGCCCCCCGCTTCCCGCAGCCCCGACTTCAGCGGACTTCAGCGCTCCCCAGCACCTGCTGTGGCTGTTGACAGTGGCGTCTCTCGGTCAATTGATCCTGAAGTGGGTTGATGGGAGTAGCTGGGCCAGGGCAGGAAGGGAGGATACCCGTGTTGCCAGGGAGCCGTGCCAGGGCTAAGGAAGCCCACGGTGCCCTCCGCTCCCTCCAGGGGAGTCTGCCCTGAAGCCCTGAGTCTGGGAGCCACAGAAACGGCCAGAACCAGGAGGAAAATCCAGAGGGATGCATTTTACCTCCCTCAGCGAGAGTCTGGGAGAAGAGCCGAGCTGGGTGTGGGGGAGACCAGGGCTCCAGATCTCTGCTGTCTGGATTGGAGAACCCTAAAATCAGAACTCCCTCTTACCCTGATCCTACCCAACAACAGGCTCTGTGCTGGATGCGTTGGTGGGTGCAAGATAAGTGGGTGAACGGCCCCAGCCCCAGCCTTCGTTTTCAACAAGGAAGCCCCCACCCCCGTCACTGTCACGTAAACAGTTGTCCACGTCTCCCCGTCCTCCGTGGTCCTCCCACGAAGCTCCTGGGGGTGAAGTAGATGGACAGGACCTCCCCTGACCGCAAGATGACCAGCAGTCGCCCTCTCAGCATCTCGCTGAGTGCGGGACCACATACTCCTGCCTCCAAGGGGCCTGGGCCTGAGGGTCGGATGGACAGGGGGACAGAGATCAAGCCTGAGCGGAGACGGAAGCAGGGAGAAGCAGTCAGCGACCGCCCGTGCTGGCTGGAGGGGCGACAGGGGGACAGAGCCGCGAGAATCCTCCAGCACTCAGCCTCCGAGGCGCTGCCAGGCCGCGCCGCGTGGGAGCTTGGCAGGCTGCTTTTGCAAATAGCTAAGTCTTTGGCTTCCCTTTTTCATACTTCAAGAGATGCAAAGCAGATGGGGGTTTGGTTTTTAGGGACTTTCGGCTGTAGCGTCAGCCTCTTACAGAGCGGCCCCAGGGCACGTAAGTCCAGCCACCTGCACAGCCATCCAGGATAGAGCGGCTGAAGCTTTGCCCTTCGTGGCTGCTGCTTGGTAGCCTGAGGAGACTCAGACTCCTGCTTGACAGCTGAGGGCCCTGTGGCCGTCTCCCTGCGTTTCTCCCAAGGCCCCTGCTGGCGCCTTCCCCAGCTCCCTGTCCTCACTCTGATGCCTCAGACCGGAAATGGCTCTCTGGTTCTCAGCAGGGGTGCCTGAACCACCTTTATTTTGCCACTGCCCTGAGGGCGAGGGGCTGCAGCAGCTGGTCTGGGGGAGCGTCCCTGAGGGCGCCTTGCTGGTGTGCAGGGAAGCCAGCACTGGCTGGCCAGTGTGTCTTCCTGTCTCAGTTCTGTGCCCTGGGTTTGGCCTCGAGGCAGACATTAGGCGAATGAGTAGTGAGTTTGGGGGATCCGAGCATTCAGTAGGGGCCACGGGGAGGCGGGAGGGCAAAGCCACAAGTGACTCCAGCAGGACTCGGCCAGCTGCGGGCAGGGCTGGCTGCGCGGGGCGGGAGGCAGGCGCTTGGGGTGTCGGGTGGGAGGAGAGTGGAAAATGGCAAGGGGGGGCCTTCCGGACATCAGGGTCCCTGGGGCTGACAGGGAAGCCTGCCTCCGGGCCAGGCCCCGGGTGCCCACTGGGGATGGGTGGGGGCTGCATGACAGCGGCTGAGCAGCGGGGGCTGGGGACGCCCCAGGCCTGCTCGGGCCCTCGGCCCGGCCGTGCCCAGTTCAGCGGGTTTGTCATCAGTGCTTGAGGGTCACGTACTCCACGCTGTCCTGGGCCGGGGCCCGCTCCCCGGTGCGGAGATGAACCAGTTCCGAGTAATGGACCCCCTCCTCTTCTGGAACATCTGGAGTCACGTTCTCATAGTCGCCCTGAGAGAGTGACCATGGTCAGCTTGGCCTCGTGGTCACCAGCCTCCCAGCATGGGTTTTCCTGCTCAAGCAGGATCCCCGGGGGCCCGAGAGCCCAAGCAGGCGTCTTCCTGGCCGGTAACTGGCTGCAGTGGCCTCTCAGGTGGGCGGAGTCTGCAGGGCTCTGCCCACACCCTGCCGGGGTACCCCCAGGTGTCCCGGTACTGCCCCACCCCGGGCTCGGCCCAGGCCTGTTGCCTCCTTACTTCTCCTTTTGCCCTTGGGGGCTTCTGCACCACCGAGTACGTGACTGTGTCCTCCGAGGCCCCTGCGTTTCTGACGGGGAGAGCAGACAGCCACGTCTGTGATCTGACTCACCTGCGGCCACGAGCTCCCCAGCCCCCCGCCCCCCAGGTACCCCGGCTGCTGCCTGCAGGAGGCGCGGCCATGTCAGGAGAGTGAAGGTTCCCGTGACCCACAAAGTCTTTGCGTGGGTGATGGAGCTGGGCCCCGGGTGCACAGCCCAAAGCCCGATGCCACCCCTCCCCCACGGGCTTGTGACGGGGCCGGGTCAGGCGACAGGTGACGGCGGGGCCTGGCACAGACACTGGGTGCGGCACCAGCTGCGCCTCCCTCCCACAGGCTTCCAGGGCGCGGGTGTCACCCTCCCGGTGTCCTCCGTACCCCATCCTTGGCGTGTCGGGAAAGCGCAGCATAGCGTAGCTGATGGAGTCTTCCATGACCGGGTTGTAGCAGCCCAGGCAGTGGGGGCCGTCGTCGCCGGGGGCCCTTCTAATCTGGAGGGAGACAGCCTGTCTTCTGTCCACCCCCAGCCGGCTCCCCCTGCCCTGGGTCTGACACCCACCCCCCCAGGTCCCGCCCGTCTGAGACCCCTCAGACGGACCCCCGTCGGGGTCCCCTCAGCACCCTTCACCTCTCCGCTCCTCCGCCTGACTCAAGGGCCCCCCACACCCCACCTTTCTCCCATCCTACCTTCTTATTCCTCACAAAGAAGCTCTGCCCGCTGGAACTTTCCTGAAGCCCCTGCTGACTCTGCATCCTCTTGCGCCTATGGGATGAAGGTCCCAGTGCGGATCAAGGCCTGCAAACAGGACCCCGTGGGGTGGCCTGGGGCTGCAGGAACCCCAGGGGTGGAGGGTACTGGGCGAGCTCACCTTCTCTGCAGCTTCACCCCCAGTGTGACCAGGAGGGCGACCAGCACACTGAGCCCCACCCCCATGATCGTGCGTCTGCCGATGGTCTCCGGGCCATCTGGTAGAGCAAGGGGTGACCGTCAGCTGATGGCACGGTCTGCATCAGATACCCGTGCTGACCTGCGGTCGTCGCCTGGAGGGCAGCCACGACTCCGCCCTGCCGCTGCCCTGCCTGGAGATGCCACGTGGCATGTGATGGGAAAAAAAGAAGAAGCTGCCCCAGCCTCGGGCCGCCCCCTACAGGAGAGAGCAACTCCTGACCTGGGCTCTTATTCTGAGCATGGGCAAATCCAGGGCGCATAACCCCCACCGATGGACCCCCTCTGTGAGGGCAGCTCGGCCCTAGCCCCAGAGTTTAAGCCACGTGTCCCCTGACCCCACAGTTCCCAACAGGAATTTCCCCTGTGGCTAGTCTTTTTTTTTTAACTTATTTATTTATGCATACTGAACTGGGGGGCAGGCCAGAGGTGCAGGGGCAGTGAGAGGACTCCCCAGAGACAGAGCAGGGAGCAGAAAAGGCAGATGGACGAAGTGCCCTGCTGATGGGCGGGTGGATTAGGAGAGGTTTGCCGCGCCACATGGGTCAGCTTGGGGCGGGGATCGAACTCGCTCTGAAGTGGGTGCGGCCAGTTTGCAGTGCTGCAGCCTGACCCGTTGCGCCACCAGGGAGGGCCCCTCCTGTGACTAACCTTGCCAGTGCACCCTCAGCAAGAGATGGCAAAGCTTTAGGGGGGCGCTCTGGGGTGCTCAGCTTTGCAGCATGCGGCCACAGAATGCTGCAGCCCTCGGACAGGAGGTGGGTCTCCCCAGAGGCTGCAGGGCAGAGCCCGGGACACCCCTGTGCCACGCTGGAGCTCCAAATTGCACACCCAGGCTGCCTCGCTCTAGCAGGTGGGTCTGCAAGAGACGATCCTCTCAGTTTAAACCTAGGACTCCAGGGCCCTCCCTGGTGGCGCAAGGGGCTCAGTCACAGCACTATGAAGCTCTCCGCAGCCACTGCAGCACGAGTTCCATCCCCAGCCAAGGCGCTGACCCACATGGCCCAGCAGACCTCTCCTGTCTCCCCGCTGCTTCCCTCAGCAGTGTATTTCAGTGGATCTGCCTGTTCTGCTCCCCACTCTGTCTCTGGTGAGTCCTCTCACTGCCCGCCAGCACCTCTGGTCTGTATCCCAGTTCTTGTATGCACAGATAAATAAATCTTTAAAAAGAAATAGCGAGGCAGACAGACACCCACAGGAGCCCAGGATGCCTGGAAGAGGGAGCTCTAGAGAGAATCAGGAGGCTGCACTGGACAGAGGGCAGCTGTGTGCAGGGCAGGGGAGGGTCGAGGCGTCCTGGCTCACGCAGCGGGGGGAGGGAAGGGCCCTTACAGTAGACAGTCAGTGTGCTGGGGGGCGACTGGCCCTGGCCCAGCCTGTTGGTGCCCTGGCACCAGTAGGCCCCCGCGTGCTGGATGTTGACGGGCTCCAGGGTCAGCGTCTGGTGAAAATGGTGGAGGTCCTGGTTGTTCCAGTCAAACCAGGCATAGTAGGAGACTGGCGGGTTGGCGTCGCCCTCACACGTCAGTGTGGCCTTCTTCCCCTCGACCACGCCGTCCTGCGGGCTGATGGCCACACGCAGCCTCCGGGGCGCATCTGGAAGGAGACCCGAGGTCAGGCCCGAGGCCCCCGTCGCCCGCCCACCCGCCCGCCCAGCCCCGGGCCCCTCCTCACACAGCACTTGGAGCTTCCAGGCCTGGGACAGGGTCTGCCCTATGGAGTTGTTAACCAGGCAGTGGTAACTCCCAGCATCTTCTGGGGTGACGGCGCCTAAGTTCAGTTGTTTCCTTCCTTCCTCCAGAAGGACCCCGTTTTTCTTCCAGAAGAAGTGGACATCTCTGGGGTGGCTACTTGAGAAGGCACAGGTCAGGGTGACCTGCTGTCCGGAGTGAGTCTCCGACTTGGAGTTGCTCTGTACCACGACATTCCTGGGGGCATCTGGAGAACAAGGGCCTCTGGCTGACCTCTCGGGTCACTGACCCTCTCCCGGGCCCTGAGCCCTGACCCTCTCCCCGAATTCTCCCTGAAGACCCCGGCGTAGAACCCAGGGTCCTCGCCCTCAGAGACCCACTGGGCTTCCCCGGCGCCCCTGCAGGTCACTCACACTGGACGTCGAGGTCCACGGAGGCTGCCCATGAGCACCACTGGTTACAGGCGGCACAGGCCACCGGCCCGGTGTTCCAGGCCACGTTCTGCATTGTCACCACCTGAGGGTGCATCACCTCAGGAACTCGGGAAGACCCGAGTTTCCACTGAAAATGCTTAACTTCAGGGTTGCTGGAGTTGTAGTGACAGGACAGGGTCACGTTGGCTCCTTCTCGAATCTGTGTGGGGCCTTTAATCTGCAACGTTACCAACTTGGGTGCATCTGGAAGAGAGAGAGAGAGATAAGACCTTTTCTTCCCGTTTCCTCCTCCTCCCTCTCTGCCCCGCACTCACGCTGGCGGCAGGACGTGCCTTCCCCGAGGAAGGCTCATCTCTGTCTGTGCGCGTGGGCACAGACATCCTGCTCTGGCCGTGATGGGCCTGGCGGCGGGGTCCAGGCAAGATGGCGCGGTCAGGACCAGCCCCGGCCCCACACCGACCAGAGCACGCTGTCCCCAGAGGGGCACGGAGCCAGGCCCCAGAGACCCCGGGAGCCAGACTGCCAGAGTAAGTGGACATTGGGGAAAAACCCAGCTCTGGAGCCAGACTGCGGGGCCCTGCTGCCCAGAACAGAGTGGCCACGGGAGGCAGCCTCCATAACTCATCTTCAAGAGGGGGGTTCTCACGAGCCCCAAGCCTCATGGAATCGAGGAGGAAATGCCTCAGGACCGGGTGCAAGGCGTAGTCAGCCCTCGGCAGCGGGCGGTCCTGCTTCTGCTCGCACATCCGGGCTGACTAGGCGGTCAGGGCTGACCGCCCAGCATGGCCCAGCCCGCGGTGCTCCAGCGGCCGGGCCTCTCAGGGGCAAGGTCTGCGTCTGCCCCCTCCTGCTCCAGAAAACCTCAGGACCCTTCTAGAAAACCTCAGGACCCCACTGGGACTCGGCCACTGGCTCGGGACGCCAAGTCTCAGTGTCCTCGGGGACCCTGGCACCTGGCCCTTCATTCACTCAACAAACGTGAGTTGGAGCACCTGTCAGGACCCAGGCCCTGTTCTGGAGCTTAGAATCCGTCTGTTATCCAGACCACCCCCCGCCAAGCTGACGTGTCGGGCCACCCCCGCCTGCTGCAGCCTGCCGGAGACGTTCTGCTCCTCATCCCGCCACCTCTAGCTTCTCCCTCCAGGACCCAGAGGCTCTGCAGCTGCTCACATTGGACGTCCAGCTGAGCTTCCTGGCCAACTTGCCCGTGGCCAAGACTATTTTCGGCCAAGCAGGAATATTGCCCAGCGTGCCTGAGGGTGACGCTTGGGATCTGGAAGGTGCCGGTCACCCCCGACATTTCAAGACCATTGTGATACCAGGTGTAATTGGTTGGTGGAGGGTTGGCCGATGACAGACAAGTCAGAATGGCTGGCATTCCCTCCTTAGGTGCTGAGGGTTGGATTTCAACCTTGGAAGGTTCTGGAGCATCTGGAAGAAGGGGCAGAGGCGGGGTGGGGGAGGTGAGGAGGGCCTTCACTGCACCCCCTTAATGCCTCAGCTGCCCCCCAGCTCCCAGGAGGCTCACAGTGCACCTGCAGGTTCACGTCCTCTGACTTTCCTGGGCCTAAATAATTACGGGCCTGGCACTGGTACTGCCCACTCACGTCCCTGGTCACTGCGGACAACGTGAGAGTGAACCCCTGCTGCGGCAGGAGCTCCCCGTCCTTGAGCCAGGATGGGGTCTGGTGCTCTGGGTTGCTGCTGATGACCTCGCATGTCATGGTCACTGACTGCCCCTCGGTCACAATGGCATCTGGGGGACTGACCTTGATCTTCAGCTTTGGTTTGTCTGGAGGAGCAGAAGGCAGTGGGGAAGACAGAGGGTGTAAATCGGCTAGAACTCAGAGCCTTTATCCTGCTCCAGCGGCAGCCACCGGGTCACCTGGTCAACAAGGCTGGCCTGGCCCTGGTGCCCGGCAGCTATCACAGCTGCACACGTGGTCTCCAGCGCCCACCCCGGCCCCCGAAGGTCCGGGCTCCATGCCTAAGGCGGTTGAGCGGACCCTGACCGCCCCGCATGACACCATTCAGTGGATTCCACACTTAGGAAAAGGAATCCAGGCCTGGGCCTCCCTGGTGGCGCAGGGGTTTCGTCTCAGCACTATGAAGCTAACCCCAGCCGCTGTAGCACGAGTTCAATCCCCGGCCAGGGAGCTGACCCCAGGGCGCAGCAGACCGCTCCTGTCTCCCTGCTGCTCCCCTCAGCGGTGGATTTCAGTAGCCCTGCCTGTAATAGCTCTGGTGAATCCTCTGCCCACTCCAACCCCACGTGGCACCCCTGGCCTGCACCCCAGCTCTTGCAGCTCTGGCCGCTGGCTTGCAGCAGGTACAGCGTCCTGCTTCAGGCCTTTATCCTTCTCCTTCCTGCCCCAGTCCCTGGAATCTCCTCACAAATATCTGCACCCCTCAGTCCTTTCCTTCTCTCAGTTCAAGTTCACCTTCCTCAGGGACGTCTTCCCTTAACGCACTTCCCGCTCATCTCTGACAGTGACATTTCGGTTCCTTGTCACTCTATCTGACTGGCCTCCATCACCGGGCTGCCCTGATTAGCCCTAGTACCTAGCAAGTGCAACTCAGCCTTTATTGAGTGAATGAACGAGATGCAAAAAATGATGCAAAACTAAGTTCTCATCACCCCTCCCTGGGGAAACAGCAACAAGACCCGGAGCCCCCCAGGCTGGGGTCGAGGGGAGGTGGAATCACTTCATTCTGTTAGAACCAAGCAGACAGGAAACTGATGTTGCAGCGCCCAGCTGACCACAGGCCGGGGGAGGCGGGAGGTGGCTATGCCCGGCCAACCTGACTGGGCGCCCACAGACCGCACATCCTGATGGGTGCGGGTGCCCGGGCGCGGCGGGGAGACTCACGCTTCACGTCCAGCTGCACTGTCTTCTCCGAGAGCGGCTGTCCCGCCGGGTCCCGGATCCTGCAGGTCAGGTTGCTGCCATGGTAATGCCACTGGGCCTGAAGCGTGAGTTTGCTCTGGGTGGACACGCGCTTGGTGTCCAGGGAGGTCGTCGTGACCACTGCGGGCCTGCGCTTGGTGTCCAGAGTGGTCGAGGTGATCTCAGTCCCCTGTAGGGACCACTGCAGTTGGATTGGGTAGTCAGAGCAAGAGAAATTCAGGGAACAGGTGAGCGTGACCTCCTGGAGTTCTCGGATTTCTGGAGGAAGCTGGATGTGAGGTGGAAACGCTCTTTCTGCAAAAAAGTAGGCGCCTGCTGGATACCTGGGAGGCAGGTGCACCAGCCCTGACCCCTGGCTGCACCCCCCCATCCGAATCACCCTCGGAGTCCTGGCAAGTGACCCCAACGCCCCCGGGAATGCTGGACCTCCTTGCGGGTGTCTCTTGTGCAAATTTATTTCTTGCTCACTCCCAGAAGCTTCTTTTCCAGCTCGCTCTCGCTGCACCTGAGACTTCCACCAGCAACTTCAACATGCATTTCTTAGCTTTCACGCCAAGCCTGCATTTGTTAATGGCCACGTCCAGAGACAAAAAAGACGCTATGTGGGGGATTCCTTTAGGAGGGGAAAACTCCGCCCCTCAGACCTCAATGTCTGAATTGCAGCTCTTTCCCCAAACATAAGGCTGCACAGAACTACCCAGAGGGGGAAAGAGGCTGAGGCCACGGAGAGGCATCACCTCACTACTGGGCTGCAGGCCCCAGGGCCCAGGTCCCTGCCTGAGGCACCCCTGCTTGGCCTCACCTGGCCTGAGGGGTGGGGGTGCTCGCTGGAGTGAGTCACCAACATTAACATATTGGGAGGCTCCACTAAAAAATCCAGATTTCCACTTCTCTTTAAAAAAAAAAATGCCTGGTGGTACAACAGGTTCAAGCACCTCGTTACGAAGCTCTCCAAAGCCACTGCAGCATGAGTTCCATCCCTGGCCACGGAGGTGACCACATGGCGTGGCAGACCTCTCCTGACCCGCCCGCTGCTCCCCTCAGCAGTGTACTTCGTTGATCTGCCTGTTCTGCTCCCCCCTCTGTCTCTGGTGAGTCCTCTCACCCCCCTACACCTCTGTACCCCAGTTCTGTGTGCATAAACAAATAATCCCTTAAAGACAAAACCAGGCCACCAGCCCCAGATTCTAGAAGGGGCAAGAGCTGCCTGGGAGATGCAGCCTGAGGAGGAACAAGAGGTCCCGCTCTACTGTGCCACAGCCCAGGGTCACTCGCTGCCCCCGACAGGCTCCGCCTCCAGTCTGGTCTCTGCGGGCGACAGGGGGCTTGGTCCCGGGCCCCTTCCCAGCCCCCCCACCTTGCCGGCGCTGGGCAGAGACACACCCCGGGCCTCACCGGAGACCGTGAGGTTCAGCGCCTGCATCCACTTGTACCTGGCCGTTACCATCCTCAGCCCCAGGGTCCCGGAGTCCTGGAGCTTCACAGGTTTGATGAGCAGGGTGCAGTCGTTGCCAGTGTTGCCCAGAAACCACACCCTGTCCTTACAAGGGGTAAGCTTCCCGGGGGTGCTGCTCCTTGTGCTGGCGGGGAGGGCGGTCCCCTCGTATAGACTGGTCCCCACGAAGTCCTTCTTGGCTTTGTCGTATGAGTAATTGTGATACACGGTCAGGTTGCTCAGCGACTCTCCACTCCCGGGGGGCGTGTAGCTGCAGGGGATCTTGACGCAGGCCCCCTCCCAGGCGTAGAGGGTGGGCGGGGTCTCGACCTTCCATTGGCTCGCGTCGCAGAAAGCCACATACTCTGGAAGCCACCACAGTGACCAGAAAGCTTTAGTGAGAGGCATAGGGCGCTTTCAAGGAATAAAACCTCCCCTCTGAGGAGAGAGAAGAGAGAGGAAAACACACGGAGAGGTGCAGACACACACGTGCATGGCCCGCCCCCACCCCCCCCCGCACCCCCCACCCAAGACCCCCACCCCCACTTGCTCTTCTCCGCCGCTGCTCCTCCGCCACCCCAGAGCCCGGGTCTGGCGGAGGCCGCGGTCCTTACCCAGGAGCAGGACCAGCGAGGGGCCAAGGAGGTGCATGGCACTGCCTGGGCAGGACCCTGAGCCGGGAGAGTTTATCTTTGAGTTATCCGGTGGCTGGTTTCTCCCACAGGGCACTCCTGGCCGACCCACCGCGTCCTGGGCGGGCCATTTGTGGGGTGCCGGATGCCCCAGCCCTCCTGGCACGCTCGCCTCTGGGGCCCCCCCTGCGCCGGAGGCACCACGCTCCTCCCCACGCCCACCCTCCCACCCTCATTTCACAAGCTTCCTGCCCACCTGTCAGGCTGTGAGTGGCGCCAGACGACGGAGCCCCTGGGATGCCAGCTCCCCGGAAACTCACTTGGGGCAGTGAGTTCAGGGTCTGCCTGCGGGAGGAATGCGGTCAACCTTGACCTCGATCTGAAGGCCCAAGGGCAGAAGTAACTCTCTAGCGATGACGTGGGATGCCAAGAGCGGGAAGATGAGGCCCCAGGGCTGCCCAGTGCTCCTGGGTGGGGTCGGAAGCCTCAGGCGGGCACCGAGGCCCCCTGCAAAGGCAGCGATGACCGCTCGGCCTTCCTCTGTCACGCAAGAAATGAGCATCTAGATTTCTCACATGAAATGTCCTGCTTTCTGAACCCGACACAGCCCAGCCCTGGGCAGACAAAGCCAGGGTGTGGGCCGGAGGGGCGGTCAGGGTGCCAGGGTGTGGGCCGGAGGGGCGGTCAGGGTGCCAGCTGGCTGTCCCCCACCCGCTGCAGTGAGCCCCGGGGCCAACCTGCCAGACTCTTACATAGAGGCGCATTTACATAGAGTTAAATTTAAGTTCCTATTTGCATGGCTGTTCCCCCGGGGTCCCTGGGGAGCTGGCAGGACGTGCCCACAGAGTGTGTCTCCTTTCTCGGTGAGCCGGCGCCCGCCCACCACCCAGCCGGCCTGCCCAGGCACACCCCCCGCCCCTGGCTGCCGATGCCTCCTGGCGTCTGGTCCTGGAGGAGCCACGCTGCCTGCTGAAAGCAGGAAAGGGGGGGCGGTCACCAGAGGCAGCTGACCCGTCTGGCCTGGCGCTGGACTAGGGGTGTGGGGTTGTCTGCAGGCGGCGCTGACGCCAGGCCTGCAAGTGCTGATACTGTTAAATGCCCAAAAGAGGCTTCTGGGTCACGTCCATTCGAGAAAAGCTGGGCTTCGGAAAGTGAAAGAGGAAACTTCACTGTGGACCTTCCCACATCCTTGCCCTGGCTGCATGGGGTTCCCCCCCCCATGGGGCCCCCCCCACTCCCAGCGTGGGGGCTGGGGCTGACGCTTGCTGCAGCCAAGCACCGTCTTGCACTCCCCACGCAGAGTTCGGCAGGGCCCCAGCGTCCGTGTTCTGAGCAACACTCTCTGGGCCCCTTTTGGGGTCCCACAGGGGCTAGATTTTGTTTCCCGTGGCAAAGAGGAGCTCCCTGGGGCTGAACCTTGTGCCCCACCGCCATTAGCTACCAGACACGCCTCACTGGGGACTGGCCAGGAATGCTGGGGTGCAGGGGGCAGCGGGCTTGTCAGGGCGGGCTGCATCCTCACCCCTCGGCGCCCCAGACAGGCCGCGGGCACAAGTGGAGGACCCCCAGGCCTGGAAGTGGAAGGCGCTGCTGAGGGTGGACAAGAGGCTGCGAGAGGCGTGAGGCCCGGAGGCGTGAGGCCCGGGGCCTGCTCAACACAGGCAGGACACGGAGCTGGCCTCCGGGCGCCCAGTGTCCATCGCACTGGAGGGCCAGAGGATGCCCAGAGACAGGACCCCACCGCCTGGGGTAGCAGGCGAGAGACAGGGAGGGGTGGTCGCGCTCCCGCCCCCAGGGCATGCCCGGGACCCAAAAGAGAAGGAAATTGCTCTTTACCTGTCTCCTCTGTCCTCCCTCCTCAGGGCCTGGCAGCATCTGAGAGTGAAAGGGGAAGCAGAGCAAGGTCTTCAGAGACAGATTTTTATCCTCCTTAGCCACACCTCCCGCCTCTGGGACTCTGAGGGCCACCTAGACGCAGGTCGGCCTGGGGGTGCGGACAAGGGGTGCAGGCCGGAGCCAGGTCAGAAGGAACCCTTGTCATCGGTGGGCAGGTTAGTCTGGGGGTGAGGGGGGTGTCTGACGGGAGACCCGAGTCAGAGCGGCTCTGCCCCGGGCACCCTCAGCGCGCAGGAAACGCCAACGGCTTGAACCACCAGCCTGAAACGGCTCAGGTCAACACCAAGTAACTGCAGGTGAGCGACACCTGTCCCGCCACTTTCCCTCACTGGCATGAGTGGGGGGGTTGAGGGGGGCCGGTGTTCCAGCAGGCCCCAAGGTCCTGAGAAGGAGAAACCAACTTCTGTCCGCTCGAAGGGGCGAGTCTTGAGACTAGAGCTGGCCATCTTTTTTATTTTTTTAAAAGATATGTTTCTTGGCCCTCCCTGGTGGCGCAGCAGGTTAAAGCACAGCACTAGGAAGCTAAAGCCACTTCCGCATGAGTTCGATCCCCGCCTGCCCCGGCGGTGACCCCCATGGCGCGGCAGACCTCTCCTGACCCGCCCGCTGCTCCCCTCAGCAGTGTACTTCGTCAATCTGCCTGTTCTGCTCCCCGCTCTGTCTCTGGTGAAGCTTCTCACCCTTCACATCTCTGGCCTGTACCCCAGTTCTGTATGAATAAATAAATCTTTAAAAAAAGTTACCTTTAAAAAAAAAAGATATGTTTCTTTATCCATACAAGAACTGGGGTACAGGCTAGAGATGCGGGGGGGGGGGGGGGTGAGAAGATTCACCAGAGACAGAGTAGGGAGCAGAACGGGAAGATCGATGAAGTACACTGCAGAGGGGAGCAGCGGGCGGGTCAGGAGAGGTCTGCCACGCCATGGGGGTCTCTCCCTGGCTGGGGATCGAACTCAGAGTGCAGTGGCTGCCCATAGCTTCAGAGTGCTGAGAAGACTTGACCCCCTGTGCCAACAGGGAGGCCCCCAAATCCAGCCATCTTGATCAGGCTTCCAGTCCCTGTGCGTCTAGAGGCCAGAAGTCTGGAGCGTCCTTAGGCAAATCCATGCAAGCCCCACAGAGGAGGGGGGTTTTGCTTTTAGCATTATATACTCAAAAGCCATCCAGCCCACATCTATCCAAGGTCGCTGCCCTCTGGCACCACTGTCAACGCTGTTGACCAGGGGAAGGAAATAGAATGGTGACTCACTTCAGACAGCAGGGCTGTCCCGGCCGAGGGAGGCCTTTGCCCTCTTTCTCTTGCTAAGTGCAACAGAAGTCCCAGACACCATAAAGCCAGCCTGGGCCAGCTGGGAGGTGGACAGAGGGCGTGTGCGGGACGTCGGGGCCTGAGGGTAAGGTGTGAATTGCCTGGGTGACCTGTCTCTGTGCCTCATCATCCTCTACTGAACACAGGGAATCTGGCACCAGAAATGGCATGGGCACAGACAAGGAAAAAAACTCCACAAAACCCGCGCTTAGAAGGAAGCAGGGAAGGGCCCTGTCGAAAGAGCAGACTCTTGCTGCAACAGCTGCTCTCCTCCAGCCACATAGAGCGGAACCCGCAGCCTCCCCACACCCCAACACCCCATGGCAAAGGTCAGGGGTGGGGGTGGAGGCACTGGCTAGATGTCCACCCTTGGCAGCTATAAGGAAGAACCCAGACCCCCGCCTCCCTTTCCTCCACCAGTGTCAGTGGGGACCAGGTGGGGAGCCTGAAACTCCGCCCCACAGTGGCGGCGGCCACTGTTAGAGAGGCCTGGGGGGCCACGAGGACTTCATCACCACTCAAGGGTAACGGGGCCCCAGGGGGCCCATGGGGAGTAGTAAGAGCTACTGTTCCCCCCACCATGCAGGTGGTGCCCACCTGGGGTGCCCGCCGAGGGTGCCCACCTGGGTGCCTGCCTGAGGTGCCCACCTGGGCACTTGAACTCCACCCCTTCTGGGCGATTACAAGGAAAGTTCCTCCCCCAGGTGTTCAGGGAGGTTGGGAGGGTGCCCTGAACTTCTACCCCCATGAGGCGGTCACTAGGGGCTCCCCCTTCGCTTCACTGGAACAGTGTTGGGGAGACCTACTGAACACAGATTCAAATCAGATGCAGTCCTATCAAATGACACCGACATGTGCAAAACAGGTTCCCACTCAGGAGGGGAGACTGCGTGGGCGTGAGCTCTCTGGGAGCCGGGGAGACGGCGAGCCCGGTGGCTTGGCACAAACCTTCACATGTCAGCAATCCCAGCATAGAAAACGCATATTTGGCCCTCCCTGGTGGCACAGCGGGAGAAAGTGCAGCACTAAGCTGGCCGCAACCACTTCATTGAGAGTTCGATCCCCGCCCCGGAGGTGACCACAGGGCGCGGCAGACCTCTCCTGACCTGCCC